ATATTTCCATTTCAATATGCAGACTCCAAGAAGGAAATGGAAGAGGAAAGTTTAAAGCAGCCTGGAAGCTGAGTTCGCCTTCCTTTGAAGGTGCACCTCACCAACAGTCATCCCAGGAATCTGCTGCAGCATCGCAGTGAGGCCGAGAAAGCATGATTTGTTCTTGTGTTTCCTGTAAGAAGAACTTGCAAATGAACAGGATTAAATTTCTATTTTAAGTACATAATTCTGCATGTATACTTCCTTAAGATAATGATTGTTTACAATGCACCTATATCCTTCACTGTGTGTCCATAGTGTATTCTAAGTGAATAGATACTCTTTCAAGTGATTTTAAGTCGTATCGTGTTATTTGAGACTCGGGGATATTTACATTTATTTCTTGATGGAAATCCTATTTTCAATATCAATCCCCCCCAAAATAAGTTACCATTCTCATTTTAGTAATATTGATATTCTTTGTTAAAGCAAAATGCTTTTTCTTTCTCTTTTGGGGAATGTTTGGTTAGTTGGCTGGCTGTTGGGAAGTTGTTTTATTGGGGCTTTGAATAACTTTCAGAAGCCCCAATTTCTTACCAACCAAGTTCAAATCATGTAATTGATTCTGTGTATCAGGAAGCCTTCTTGTTTGTTTGGTTTTTGTTAACTCAATTACCCCATGTGCTAAGGAAATGGCACAGCCAGAGGAACTTAGAGTCAAATATAAAGCCACAAAGCTTGGGAAATGTTTGCTTGACTCTTGATAATGAGGACCTGGAGCAGAGAATAGAATAATCCCCCTAAATTTGTTACAAGCCTCCGCCTTCCCCTACCAATTACAGTGCTTTCACGTGCTCCTCTTTTTCTCATCCTTTTCCTGTCTCTTGCTGCTTTACCGGACACCACCACCGGGGAGGACTTCAGCACCCCTTTCCATACTCCAAGGTCACGACCAGCCATTAAGCCAGGATCTCTCCATTCCAAATGCAGACAATTGCACTTATTAAAACAAAGGGAGATCACTGTAAAATAAATACCAGAAGATCCATCTTGCAAATGAAGACCAAACTTCCAGTAAACTGTTGTGCTACTAGAAAATGTCAACAGAAAATAAAATTGGTAGAATTTGCTAAAGAATGGTTTAAAAGTTACTTCTTAATAATTTAATGTTTTGAAGAAAACCAAAAAGGATAAGTGCACATTACTTTTAAGAAAACATCTTCTGAATGAAGAAGACAAGCAGTTTTCGGAAAACTCCATGAAATACCATTTGTTTTACTGATACTACATTATTTTCGATTACATATATAGTTCATTTGTCATCTCGGAAATATTTTTTATTAAGTTAAAAATCTAATTAATCAGAGGAGTTCATCTGGTCACTCAGCAGAATTTGATACTTTCCTGGTGCCTCATTCATTTCCTAACCAATGGAAGAAGGGAAACAGAATTTAACCAATGGAGCTAATAAACCCAGAAGTACAGTGAATTCTGAGAAACTATCTTCTTCATTTAAAAATGCTCTCATAGTGGGGAAATTCAACTTCTCCTTACCTTTTGTTAACTGCAGAAATAAACATATTTCCAAGAGTAATGAGTTGCTGAGTTTTATCCAGAGCTCCCCTCAAAGGCACCGAAGCATCATTCATTTCCTTGCACCCCAAGTTCACCTTACCTGGGAAATGAGGTGCGAGCACACCATCTTCATCTCCACAGCAGTCTGTTTGAATTTCCCTTTGAGGCTTAACTCCTTTCCACCCTCAGTCTCTCCTGAAATAAGTTTTGATTTGAGCTACAGCAAAACATTGCCTTCCTAGAGGTTAAGCAGAAACTAGAGAAGAGTTGCAATCTCCATAAAACAACCCAAGTCTGCACTGAGCCAGGTCCAGAAGGAACTGCAAACGTGCTCATCAATGGTGAGGGCGAGGTTGACATCAATAAATTCAAAGCCTTCTCCAGGCAGGATTGACTTGGAAGGAGCACTCCAAAGAGGCATCGTGCTCCGATGGGGAGAGTTGGGTTCTGGGTCGGGGAAATCTCACCCATGCTGTCCATCAGCTGTCTGCTCTATGGCAACTTACCTGACCTTTCTGAGCTTTGGTTTTATTACCTGGAGAATGGTAACAACCGTGCCTAAGAGTATAGTTGACACAAGAATTACAAAGCATTAATATCAAGAGTCCTGCTTATAGTCAGAAATCTATAAAAGGTAGCAATAGTTATAACTTTTTTTCAAAACACAGTGCCTTGCACAAAACTAGAGTTAATAAATGTTTGTAGAAGTGAGGGACATGAGAGAGAGAAGGAGGGAGGAGAAAGAAAAGGGGAAGAGAGAAATTTGAAACAAGTTTAGTGCTGACAGATGTAGTCTCCTCCTTTTAATTAATAACTTTTATTATAATACATATTTCCTGTAGAAGTGTGTTGAGTGCCATGGACTAGGTACAGCCCACAAACCCTGCCCTTCTGAGTCCCCTGGGTGCCATGAGCTCTGCTGCCTGGTACAGCCGTTATGGTCACCTTGCCTCTTACAGCTGCACGTCACTACCTAGTCTCTTATTCCAGACCCCTCTCCCCTCCACTGACACCAAGAAGCCCAGTTTCATGGCAGTTTCTCCTTCCTGCCACCAACCTCCGTCTCAAAGGACAGCCACCGTGAAGCTTTCCTAGGACGCGGGCGTCCCTCAGCGGGGCACTCCTTACACTGCTTTATCAAAGGGCAGGTGCACCAACTGAATCCGCCAGATGATCATAGCCAGCTGGCTGGTTCTCTGGTCTCATGTAATAAAACCATTTAGAAGACTCACCTTTCTGAGCCTTTTGTCCTCACTCTTCCAGGACAGTTCTGGCATCTTCTATTCATTAATGTAAGCCACCATTTTCCCCAAGCTTTACGGAGTCATCCACTAGTATAGGGACTAGATCCAGGTATTCTCATGAGGATATGAAATCCTGAGCATGGGACAGTGTCCCCATGCAGTTGAACTCTTATCCAGTCTTATACTCTGACACCCTCAGATCCACTCCCAGGTTCATTTTACTGATCACTGTGTACACTAGTCAAGTGGCAATCAGTCCTCCCATCACTGGAAAAGCCCTTCCCCAGCCAGGCCTTCCTGACACTTGACCCCAATTACCCAAGTAGAACGAGCAGGGGTTGTGGGCAGTGTTTGAGGAGTGCAGGTATTACCTCAGAAAGCGTCCTCCTGGGATGAGTTTTCAGCCGGGTCTCCAAGCATGGGAGGCTGACTCTGGCAAGGTGAAGTGGCCCCTTCTGCAAAGGAAACTCAGCCTCATCCACTAATTGTCCTCATGCCAGGCCTCTGTGCCTCACTCCTTCCCCAGGAGGCCCTTGACTTAAGTATAGGAGATGGCAAGTGTGGTGCGCCCGGCCTTCTTAATAATTCAGAGGCTCTCCCAATTAGGCCTGATTTCCAGCTTCAGGAGAAAAGAATTTCTTCAAATTCAGCTTTCATACCATGCTTTGATTGCACTTACCAACCAGCTAATCCCACAGTCCTGGTAGGTACCATTATCCACACCTCTCATACTGTGTTAGCCGGTACCTACTTTCCCATGTGTATCCCCTCCCAGTCCATCAGAGTAATTGGGATGCTACGGCGTGCCTCATTGCTTCTTCGGCCACAGCACTGCCAGGGGCAGACATCCTCACTACACTTCCCAAAAGGGTAGCTATGATGGATTTCATTTCTTTGCCCCTTAGATCCCCTCTCACCCTTCTGCAACCTGCTTCCCAGGAGGCCAACAGTTATGGATGGAGTCACTGGGCTCCCTTGCTCTCTGCCTTCGCCTTGGATTCAGCAGAAAATCCAGGCAGGGGAGCAGCGTGATGCTGGCGTATTGTCAGCTTCCCTCCCTACCAGGTCTCAGTGTGGTGTTGGCTGCATCTTCCTGTACACCCCTCTCCTGCAAGGCTCTTTGGGGTCTGATAATCACATCCTCTTCTTGTTCCATCAGCCTCGGGCTGCCCATGGCTCCTAAACAAGTGTTCAGACATGTTTCACAGCCCCTGTTCGTTTCCCTCATCTCCGGATCCGCACTAAAGGTTGGGCTGCATTTTGCTCGTGGTCTTTGTTCCCAGATGTCCACCTCAGCTCCCAGTCCTTGACTATCAATCCCAGTTTTGCTTTACGTTTTCATGGGAACCGATTAGTCCATCACTCGGGGAGGACTCCTGGCCCCCAGCTGTGATGGGCGGGGGGGTAGGAACACAGGTAGGAACCCTCTGGGGACTCATGGGACCCAGCCAGCTCTCTGTGTGCCTTACTAAACATGACGTCCTACGTTAATATGTAAGTAAAAATAACCTTGTGGTTCATTTCTAAAAAGGCTTGTTATTGCTATTCCAAGTATATTAACTAAGACCAGAAAGTTTTCATGAATTCAAAAGACATGCTTTATTGGCATTAATAAGATTCTCCTGGCATATTGTGGAAAAGGAAGAAGGCTAATTTCAACCCCCAAAATGTCAGAATTACAGACACTTGCATAGCATTAGAGTTTGTTTTTTAAAGTCACAGAGAATCAGCTGCTGAAAGGTTTTCGAGAGGGCACAAGCTACGCAGCCACAGACTTTCACCTAAGCCAGCAATGCAGTTTTACCCCTTACAAACTGTAAAATTTCTGAGTTTAAAAGATTACAACTATAATATGCTAAATGGGAAATGCCATTTGTGATTCATCATTTTGGACGTCACTTTGGGAGAACATCACATGAGTCCACAAACATGAGTTTAATTTTATAAGTTTCTAAGTGTAGATGATAGCTATAATTACAGTTTTTGTGAGATTTTTTATTTAAAAGGGACCTCTTTGTTAAGGATCTTAAGGGGACTTAGGGAATTCGCTTAGAAAAAGGATCACCCAAATCCAGACTCCTTTCAATTGGAGCTACTATTTCTATCTTTAAAAGGTCTGAGTGCTCTCTATCTCTCATGGAGATAACTGATTAAAAGTTAAAAGGAGAAGGGAGTCTTCCTCTAAGGAAGCTTGCAGTGAGATCTGGGGTAGGGGTATGAGGATTAAACATGGATTTTATTGATTTCCGGCCCTTTGGTCATAAATCTAGTGGGAGACCCGTCATTAAGGAGGACATGAGAATTTAAAAACTTTCCAGCCCCATGCCTAATTAATTACACCCAAATGCATTTAAACCATTGGCATATTATAAATCCAAATTGGAGGATGAGAGTGTTATTCAAATTATGTTCTGAGCTTCAAGGTGAAGAAAAATTAAATGTGCAGGTTTGTGAACTAGAGAATTATTTTAGTGAAGGCACAAATACTGTTTTGCATCATGAGCCTACGTATGCTTCCTCTGGGTCTTGTGCCTGGGCTGGAGGGGACAGGTAACCTCCTCCAAATTAAAGTCCTTGAATCCAGGGGTAATAGCTGCTTGTGCTGCCCATGCCGGTGGGTCTGTGAGGCTCACGCCTGTCATCTGTGTTCTTCAGATGGTCTCACACTCAGTGGTGGCCGTGGAGCAGGCCCCGCAGTCACAGCGGACAGCCACGGGGTAGGTGTAGAAAGGATCAACTCCGGGGGCACAGCTGGGCAGCTTGATGGTCACCTGTTTGGTCTCGTTGTAGGTACAAACTCGATGGTGGGCTTCGATGTACGGGGGCTCCAGAATGGGCTTCTGTTCCCACAGGTAGAAAACAGGAAACCCATTAGAACAATGATTTTCAACTGGGGTGCTGCAAGAGTTTTTAAAACATGCACCACCTGACTACTTAGTCGGGGGCACTGACCTCTTTTCCCTTAAATTGTCAAATAAAACGACAACAGCTAACACAATAGTAGCTGCCCAGTGTGAATGAATCAGAATCATACCATCTTTCTTTGTCAGATCAAAAAAGAATACTTTTCAGTGCACTGCAGAATTTTAGTAGTTTATGTGTGCCATGAGATGAAAAAGGTTGGAAATTGCTGCATTAAAACATACTATCCTGCTTCATTTTCTTCGTACCATTTATTGCTATCAGTAATCAACTTATAATTCATTTGTTTACTTGTTCATCTGTCTCCTCCTAGTAAATAAACTCCCGATGTCTCAGTTTCTCATCTGTAAAACACAGTATCCACCTCAGAGCATAATATCATGGAGATAAGGTGAGGCGATCTAGTAATGCACGAGGCCTTACATCGAGGAAGTGTTCAGTGAATGTAATCTATTGTTCTTATCAGAGCAAATTAAAAAACATGGGTGCGCTGGCTGGCGTGGCTCAGTGGATTAAGCACCAGCCTGCAAACCAAAGGGTTACCAGTCCGATTCCCAGTCAGAGCACATGCCCAGGCTGCAGGCCACATGCCCAGTTGGGCATGTTTCTCTCCCTCTCTCCCTCCCTTCCCCTCTCTAAAAATAAATACATAAAATTTTTTAAATAAATAAATGATATCTGTAATGGAGATTTAGGATGAAGTTCTTCAGTGAAAGGACTTTGTAGAAAAGCTGAATTTAACATCAGTTGCCTTCTCCTGCTTCTACGATAGTATTTCACCCTCCTCATTTTGCTGCATGTCCTTTTTCCTCAGTAATCTGGAATCCTAGGCAGGGTTGCCTGATAAAATACAGGATAGCCAGTCATATTTGAATTTCAAATGAACAACAAATTCTTTTAGTGTAAGTCTGTTGCAAATGTTGTGTGGGACAGACTTATAAAAAATGGTTGTTTATCTGATATTCAAGTTTAATGCACCATGGTTTTGTTCCGTTTGGGGGTTTTTGTTTGTTTGTTTGTTTTTATTTTGTTTTGTTTTTTGCTAAACCAGGCAACCCTAAACCTAGGCCATGAGTAAATGCTTATTTTCAGCAACAGTTTGACCTTCAAAGTAAATGCAGCCACTTTCTCACCATGAACACACTATTTTCAGACATACTCCCCAGTTAAGTTACCAGAAATAAGTGCTTTATATTTTCAGATTGCTGGGGAAATTAATCACATTCTTTTACTTATTTTTTATAAGTAACCTCCCTTTTCATAGCAAAATAAAGCCATAAATAAAAGCTAGCTAACATTAAGGAGAATCTCACTGTCTAATCATCTTGGGGCTTTCATTTCTCCAGTGAGAACATAATTCCTGACCTCCTGTGGGTGACCATGATCCAATTAAAGACATTCATCAACTAAAAGGGGGAAGGAAGAGGGAATTGAGGGAAACGGAGGGGTGAGACGTGGGCCCAGGAAGAGCTCCAAATAGCCCAAAATGAACTTCAAGCAGAGGGAGCCACCAGCAGGCCAGGCCCTGAATATGAGAAGGTGTCAAAGTTCCCTAAGTATGTTTGATGTCAAGTCACGACCACAGTAACTTTAGCAACTCAATTTTATTTGGCTACTAGGTCTCGAGCCCTTGATGATGCAAAAATAAAACTAACTTGCTGGAGCAGTTTCATTTCATTTGGAAGTTTCATCACCACAACTCAGTTCCTTCATGGGGCTATAATTTTATCTGATAGCAGATTGCTCTCTGAGTCCCTGAATAGAAAGACATTTGTCCTAGTGGCATTGACTTCTCATGGTGCTCAAGGTCCTCTAAGTTGGCACTGATCGGGCTAGAGGATAAACATCATAACTCCAGGTAGAGGTCAAGCCTATATAAATCGCCAGGTGTTTATGATTGCCTGGTTCATGCATGACTTTGACAAAAGCTGTAAAAGTTGCAAGAATTTATCTCTGCCCTCAAAAATCTTAGATTTAGAGTTGTAGAGTGGGCAAGGAAGCAAGACACAAGGTAGGGTAGAGGCATGGGCTGACCATGGAGTCAGAAAACCCTTAGGAAAGGAGTCAGTTCTGGAGACAGGCATCAAAGTATAAATTTGATCATGACAGATGAAAATGAGAAAGGATACCAAAAAAGCCAAAACTGAGATTTCATGAAGGGCGTTGAACAAGACTTTTAAAATCAATCTGACAAGGATAGAGCTCAGAATATGTATAGTCGCTGAAAAAAGAGGCAGACGTCATATGGCTAACAACTTGACAGTCGGTTATTGAATTGGCAGTCGTGGGTTTAAAGATTTGTGAGCCGGAGGACCAGATCAGAGCTGGTACTTCATTAGCCAATTAAGGGCCCAGTGGGAAGAGCCAATGGTCACTCTGTTGTGATTTGATGGGGGGGCTGCATGGCCCTCTCTCTTCTCATCCAGCAAATACATCTTCACCACGGCCCTACAGGGTCTTTTGAGATTTTTATTCCCAGTTTAAATGCAATACCTCTGAAAAAGCTGAATGAAATTCAATATAAAGGGACTTAAGGGATATGTCTGCGATAATCCCTGAAGCCCCCAGAAATTTGGGGGAGTGGGAGGGAGTGGGGCGGTGGGAGCAGCACCGAAGGAGGGGCTGAGGATGCTCCTCACCTGCTCTACAGCTCAGGGCCTCTCTCTCTCAGGGCTCTGTCACAGGAGGAAGAACACAGGGAAGAGTTTTGGTTCCGTGCTTGAACCGAGAATTATTCCTACCTTTCTTCCACTGTGGGAATAAACATGACTCTGTAGTCACTTACCCCTTTGATTCCTCCATGTCATCTGTAAAATGGGTAGAATAATAGCTCGTCTTGACTTTCAGAGTTGATTTCCAAATACACAGATGCCACCCAAGTAAAATTATTACTTTTATCAATGCATTGTTAGAGGGGCAAGGTCATGTTTCTTTCAGATTTTTTTTTTGGAGCATGACAAATAATTGTTATTTTTTAAAACATCTACAGGAAAAGACAGATTTCCCAGCTTTACCTCATTTCATCAAAAAAGTGCTCAGGAATCAGGCCAAGTGGCAGACCCTAGAGGCCTTGCCACCAGGGCCTGCCTTAGACTCACCTCCCAGGTTTCACAGCGGCCCCAGCAGGCATCAGTGGTGATCCGAAGGCCCCTGCAGCCGGGCTTCTTGGCCAGGAAGGTAAACTCCCTCACAGCACAGCCCACAAAGGTGTGCAGGTTCCCGCCGGAGGTGCTGAGAACGCAGCAGCAGCCAACCAGGAGGAGGAGGGCCATGGGGCCAAGGAGAAGGTGTGCCAGCTTCATGTCCTTCCTCTGAGGAAGGAAAGCAAAGACAGTTGATGAACAGATCCAGTTGCACTCCAAGGGGCAGCCAACACGGTTGCTATCAAAGGGACCTTGCTCTTGGCATTTCAGAATAAATAAGCCAAGAAATTGCAGATGCCCATAAGCTCCAATACAGGTGCCAAAAATTGTCTCTAAGTGACTCCGATATGGATTCCATGGCCCCACTGTGCTCACTGGACACCTAACACACCACGGGTATCCTCAGGCTTTTCCTTATTTTGGCCTAACTGCTGGACGTGGCCTGGGTGTTAAAAAAGCATGCTCCAATGGTATCTTCAAAATGAACGCAAAATATGAGTTGCATCAAAAGTAATATATCTCCTAACATAATACATGAAAACACACAAATTATTTTTACTCAGATCCACTGTATTTGGTGCCACATTACATGTTTGCTCAAAATTACACTTTCAGAGTCGTAGGTGGGGAATTAAGGTATGGAGGTGGGTAAATAATTGTATGCCCATCTGTATTGTTACTAACCCAGCCCTCCACAAAGCATGGATATGCACAAGATATTATCAAACCTGGCACCTGACTTGGTGGCCATCTGTAAAAATATGCTCTAGTCACTATAAAATGCCTCTGCTCTATGCCTCTGCCATCATGGTACCTAGTTGTGATTCAATTTAAATCCAAATGATGGAAAGCACCAGAGGTGTTTAAAACGTAGTCCCAACCTCCTGTTAATCTATCCTCTGCTTCCTGTGCTTTTTCAGAAGTCAGAATCAATCCATTCATGCTCAACCCACTAGAAAGAACATACTTGGATGTTAAAGTGAGAGTGGACATTGCATTTACGGAACACCCTCAACTCATTTTGCTTTAAAAAGCCACAAAGTTACTTATTTCTGAATCTGATCTCCCAGCCCTACGCCCAATCTGTCACTTTACCAGGGCTCGTTGGACTTCCCCTCAGGAAGAGTGAAGTCACAATTGCAAAGGCACACTTACCTGATCTTGCTGGAACTAACTCTTCTCTTAGAGCTCACACCGGGACCCGAAATCCCTGCAAGTCACAATGAGTGATAGAAGTTCCTCTGGGTAAATGTCTCTACCCTCTGTACTGGGCTGCTTGACTGCTCAAATATATAGGAAAGGTCTTGTAAATCAAAACAAAAGAGAGGCAGATCCTTACTGGAACCACTAAACACATCAAAGACCTGGGATATAAAGCAGGTCTCTATTTTCCAAAACTGATTCACTTAAAGGGTGTTGTTTTGTTTCCTAACATCACCTACTGAAACAGAAAGTTACCTTGGTGGGTGACATAATCTCAGGGAAACAGTCAAAGGTAGTTCACCTGGCTCTCAGGAGAACAAGTGCATTGGGGCAAGATGGATTAAATTTTCCTTTCTGGTGACCACAAATTTCCTTTGAGACAGGAGGCAGTCACTGGCAGCTCATGGCAAACTCACTCCTTTCCCTCACGACACACTTCAATACATTGAAAAATAACAAAACAATAATTCTTCCTGGAAAGAACATGGAATCACTAACTGAAAGGATGGAAATCACAGTGAGAAGAATCAGTTTGAAAGCCTTAAAATAAGTTAAGGATTAGATAATATTAACAGCACTTAGAAATGAATCATACAGGAAAAAAATAACCAAGATGTTCAAAGTGATCTACCTTCCAGCATGGAAATTAAGACATTTCGTGTCTTCTATGTTTCTTGTCACATTCTCTACATTGAGCAGGCTTTGGTAATAGAAAGTCAGTTAATATTGATACTTTTTAAAATAAATTAGTAAGTACACATTTGTGCTACATGCAAGATATGATAGCTGGTTCCTAAGAGTCTAAACTAAGAGTAAAATAGCATCCCTTATGGGGATGGGACTCAGTTTGCATTCCAATCTACAGCAGCAGCAGCATACAAATGGATTGAAAACCTTGTGTTTGCAGCAATATTCTGGGTGGTTTAAAAAATAAAAGAAGCAGGCATTATCCCTGCTCTTCAGAGTTTATGTATCACTGTAAATAACAACATAGCCAGAGATGGTTAAGATGCCCATTAAATGGATAAATGATACTAAATAAATAAGTTAAAATATTCCTATTTCCTGCAAAAGAAAAGGGTGCTCTTTAAATAAACATGTTACTCATTAAAGGTTTGTCTTTTTCAAAACATATAACAACCCTCAGCGAATCCATCACTGTATCATCAATGTACCTATTTCTAGAGTCAGATTATTATCGTATGTGTTCTATGCAAAATTGAACTAGGCTTGGAATAAAGTACTTTCTTCAGCGCTTCAGCCTGGGAATGGCATAATCAGAACCTGGGCGCAAGGGGACAGACTGTTTACCTGGCGCAGTTTCCCAGCTTGCTGGGTCTAGAGCCAGCCAATCAGCAGTGAGCTGCCATCCTGAGCCAAGTTTCTGAAGGAAACTGTGGGACCCTTTTAGATTAGACCCGAAACATATGGACTTGTGTCTGAAACATCAGAAGATAAAGAAAAATAACAAATGGAGGCTAAGAGTGCCTTTCTTCTACAACCCCTGACTCCCTTATACTGCAGCTTTGGCATTAGGCTTACCTCTCCCCATCAGCATTAACCTGATGGTAATGACCATGTATAGTCACTGAGCACTCACTACCTACCAGGGTCCATGGAATCCACTGTGCTCTTACATATGGTATCTCTCAGTCTTACAGCAATTCTTTAAGCCAATGATTATTTTCTCCTCTTTCCATTGGAAGAAATGGAGGCTCAGTTATGCTGTCTTCTGCCTTTGATGACACTGATGATGGCAAATAGGTTTGTTTCACCCCTATAACCAGCTGCAGCCGATCGAAAGGTGCTGTCCGAAACACTGTGTTGAACAGGCCTCCGAATCCTTCCCCAGTGTGGAGGGTAGTGGCCCATCAGCTTCATCGTGGGGTAGCAAGGGGAGTGGGGTGTGGACGCCAGTCCTTACACAGCCCACCCACCTCTTTATAGGCAGAGTGAGAGGCTGCTGAGTGAGTCAACAGCTCCTTGAAGCCCTGGTGCTATAAAATATCTTATCACCATACTCTGTTCATTTCCCATCTTCCCTCCCATCTCCGTTGACATTTCTACCATTAAAGTCACTGTCTTGTAACAAAGATGTGGGCAGTGTCTCCAAGCACAGGCCCTGGAGAATCTTCTCTCATCTTGTTCCATTATCATCTTCGTATAGATTCATTGCCACTTTGGAGGGTGAGTCACAAGAGACAGGTTCTCTAGGGGTAAGGAGAGGAAAGAAGGGGCCTGGGTGAGCAACTGTCTTCAGGTCTGAAAGAGCTTGACAACAAAGGAGGCGTGAGCTCAGCGCCAGTGCCTCAGAGGGGTGATGGGCAACCCCAGACGGAGGGCTTGGCAGTGCACACTGTGTGCAGGAGGTGGAGATGCTGCCAGAGCCTGGAACTGCCCCCGCCCCGCCGGCTTAGCCACGCTGATTCTCAGCGGCACAGCTTCCTGTGTGGCCGTGCTGGGAAACGCACTTCTCCCGGCCTTCGCTTCCTCACTTCTAACATCATGGATTTGACCCTGTGCCCAAGGTCCTTCTTCGCACCAGAACGTAAATGTCTGCAAACTATTTTATGAAATAACAAGCTAATGGGAAGTTAGATGGAGAATCCAAAGGTTTGTATTATAATAAAGCCATTCTGATTTGTGTTCAAATCTTAACTCTGACACTTGCCAGCTTGTGATCTTGGATAAGTCTCATCACCTGCTGAATCTCAACTTCCCACAAAACTGAAAATGCCTCCTTCACAGTTTATTTCATAGACTCATGGGAAGAGTCTATGAAATAATGTCTATAAATTTCTTATCTCATTGCTCATTCTGTGATAAACTGGCAATAAAGGTAGTTCCTCTTTTCTTATTCCATCATCACTGTGTGTGCCCAAAGAAATATAAAGCTGCCAATAAAAAATTATGTCACACCACTAATTGTTAGGCATACCCTGGGATAAAATGGGTCTAAAAATAGAGGAAGCAAAGTCCTTGCAGGCAATGAGACCTCACCAGCATTCTGAAACCAGAAGACATGGTGGGCACCAATCAAAGCCAACCTGATCTGACACTGCGATTAACATGGCTTGCAGCAGGAAAAAATGTCTGAAGTATCAGAGCTTATTTATAAGTTCCAAATGACACTCTGGAGGTATAAGGTTTACCATGGTTCCAAAAGTTAATATATTGACCTGGCCCGATGGCTCATTTGTTAGAGTGTCATCCTATGCACCAAAAGGTCAAGGGGTTCAATCCCCAATCAGAGTGTATCCAATCCCTAGTGGGGTTGTGTATAGGAAACAACCAACTGATGTTTCTCTCTCTCCCTTTGTCTCTCTAAAAATCAGTGAACATCTCCTTGGATGAGGATTTTTAAAATTCAATATATTAATAAATCTTCAGGACTACTTTCAAACAATTTCAGTTCTGACCAAGAGTGGAGTCAAAGCAACTGAGCCAACCAACACACACTGAGTACCCTCTCTGGTCTACAGGTACCAAGTGAGGACCCATAGAACTAAGCCATTTGCTGTACCACTTACAATGATATCCTGCAAGTAGAGAAAGATATTCATGCTTCCATATGTTTTTCCCCATTGTCCTCTCAGAGTACACAATGCTCTGTCCAAGGATAAAATTAATCAGCAGTATACCTCCTGTGGATGAATAAAAAAGCCACAGATGAAGCTATGTGTCTCAAGGAAGTAATAAAATTAATGATTTTCTGGTAACAGTTACAAGAAAGGTCAGCCTTGTATTTTACAAAGTTGTATGGTGCTTGTAATATCCCTTATTGACAAGGGGAAAGTTCTGGGAGTATAAATTAAGATGAATGCTGAAGTCTTGGAAGAAATTACTTTTATTGCAAAGTTATTTCTTCCTTTCGAAGCACTGGGTACTTGTGGGACAGCTCCTCGTTTTGACTTAAAGAGATAACATTTGCCCTAGATGATAGTACTGTTGCTATGGTGACAATTTTTATGAGACTAAAAATAATGAAGCTTGTGTCTGATTTACTAGGACAAGTCAAGCCTTTCTCCACAACTGCCTGAAAGAAGTATCTGTCAATTGTCCCAGATTTATTTCAGATTAAGGGCACATAGTTTAGGTGCTGAAGTGGAATGTTTTTATTTCCGCCTGACTCTTCCACTTTTGAGTGTCATAGCTTTGCAGGGTGTGGCAGACACATGCCTAATAGAGAGGAACAGAGGGGAGCTTAGTGAGTCACAAAGAAGCATTCTTTATTTCAAGTGCACCCTGTATTCTCATTGGAATGAGTCCACAAGGCTGCTGGGTCCCCAAATCCTTCATCTGCAATTCCCCAGGCAAGGCCAAGGCTCTTGTTAGCTAAGCTACGAAGCAACAGCACCTCATTTGTTAGTTATTGGCTTTGTTCCAGAAAACTACCCCTAGGATTATGGCCCCAGAGTGCATGCGTGTGTCCTCCTGTGCTGTGCTTGGGCTTGAGTGAAGGAGCAAGGTGATGGGGCGGGATGGGAGCGTGTAGAGAGTAGAGAAGAGCTGGTCTCCTCTCCAGTGTTCATTCCATAATCTAACACATACCTATTAAGCAACTGCAGTGTGCCAGGCTTTGCCCAGCACTGGAGTCACTGGATTCACTAAAAAAGATAGAAAGATGGTATAAGGAAGTATGGGGGCTGAATAGCTAAAAACTGACAGGAATAATAGATTTCTTTCTTCTCTTTCATCTCTTCTTTCTTTCTTCTTTTTGTCCTTACATGTTACCATATGTCAGATATGTGCTAAGTACATGTGATGCCAATATGAACAGAGCTAAGAATCTGCCCTCGAAGAGTCCAAAGCCTAGCAAGGAAGATACATATACCAACATCCCTGTGACCCAGAACTTGTACTATTAGCCATTTCTCCCAGGGAAATGGAAATGTATGTTCACAGAAGAACCGGTACACGGATGTTCAGCCTTACTCATCATAGCTCCACCCTGGAAGCGACTCACCTGTCCTCCCACCAGTGAATGGTTCAACAGAGTGTGGCACATCCTTAACATGGAATACCACGGGGCAGGAGAATGGAATGAACACACGCCAGCTTGGACCAATCTCTGGAGAACCACGCTGAGTGAAAAAGAAACAATCCAAAAAGGTTATATTCTGTAGCATCCCATTTATATAACTTGAAATTACAAAATGATAGACATGGGGGATGGACTGTGCCACCTGGG